ATACCGTTCAGCCAATGGGACTCGATCCAATGGTCAATGAATTCTGACTTCTACTCAATCGTGATTTAAGCACGACTACTAACCAGTGTCGCTTGTCCTCACGTACAACCGAGTGATCACGGGTCCCAATGGTCAATGGTCTACAGAATCGCCTTGCGAAAGGAAGGCCCTGGGTTCGAACCTTGGTGGGCACCTACTGCTGGTGTGCTCTAAACTAGGGGCGAAACAGCTGTCCTGTGGCCCCTGATTCTCACTGGTTTTCTAACTGACATCAGTCTATGGCGAAACAGTTCAAAGCATGTGTATATGACGATACGCATGAATGTGGAACTAAAGTGAAAGCAGTTTCCCAAAAGAAAATATTCATGTCCCCGGCTTACTCTGGAATCTGTAAATTCACAAATACTGCATTACACCACCCTTTTAAGTGTCAACTTCCATCCTATCAATTCTCCTGCTCTTTATTACTGCATTTGCATAAATAAACCTTTTGTTTCGTAGGTGAAAAGTAGACTTGTATAAATGTCAGTGAAATTGAAATGAATAATTTCAACGTTTTATTCAGCGACCTGGTTCGAACGTCTTCAGGGAAGCAACCCTTTTGTTTTCTTATTTAGACGTAGTCACTCATATACACACTGGCACACACTTAAATATATATATAACCTGACAATACATTTTTCTCTCTCTATTTTTGATATTATCATGCATCGGTGACACAGCGGTAGAATACTCGCCAACAACGCATCATGTGGTTCGGGGTTTGATCCCCTACAACAAACGCACTCCTTTACCTTACTAAGCCAGTAATTAGAGTGGTAAAGAGGGAAGTTTAGGCATGAGGCAAGCAAACCCATCCGTAAAAATAAGTACCACTGCTACCGAAACTTCAAGTCTGTAGCTCGAAGCCACATGTTCCACTGGGAACGTAAAGGAATGAGAATAAAATGCATCCACATGAAGTCTATAATCAATATGAGCAGAATTCAGTATGAACACTATTCATGGGCATTAATTACACCATATTCGTTGTTATTCGTGATCAATCACTTTAGAATACTGGTGTTCAGTCTAGCGTCACAATAATGCACATTATCACATACATACATATGAATACGCCACAAAGTGAACAGAGTTTCAATATGTGAGAAGCTAGAAGAGGATCGATTCCCATAGAAGGCAGGGGGTTGCTGATTAACTCCTATCTGAGCACGAAAATCATTTACACACTGGTTAGATATTATATATTATTCCTCTGCATTCCCAGTAGAACATGGGGCTTCAACCTACAGCTTAAAAGCTACGGCAGCAAAGGTGTTTATTTATACAGGATCGGATTACCAGCCTCTCCCTCGCAACCTTCTCTCTCTACCTGTCTAATTACTGGCTTAGCGAGGTAAAGAATTGCGTCTGTGGTCAGGAATCAAACCTCAGACCATCTGCGTTGTTGGCAAGCATTCTACTTCTGTGCCTCTTACGCCCCGTGGTTAGATAAGTTATATTATATGTAATAGTATTATTAATAGTATATCAGCAGTGTGAATTAGCCCGAAAATGCAACCATTGAAAAAAGCAATACAACTAAGGATGAATTAGGCTTACGTTGTGGCAAATAATGAAATTCGGGCTCATCAGGTGTCAGATACTGGTAATGATGTTGGTAAGTTACACTGTACTAGTCCTAATTAAACGTAGTTCACCTGATTACCCAATAAATCAGTACTATACCTAACTTGTGAATACTGACAACAAAACCCAAATAAAAAAACCCAGTTTATTGGAAATGTGTTCTGGTGAGTAGTATAGCTGAGTAAAACAGAAAAAGTGAAGATCCTTCAAGGAGGCTGATTTATTTATTTTGCTTTATAACAGTTTGATTCCGTAATGTATTTTTGATACGAGTATGTTATATCGGTAGCCCAAATTTAGCAGGCCAACAATTGATATCAAGTGTGCGTTGGCGGGGGATCGAACCTCGGATCATGAGTATGCTCGGCGAGAGTACTTACCTCTGTTCCGCCAACGCACAGAATTCATCTAACAAATATGGCTGAATTACAAACTCGAAGAATGTAAGCGTTGACATCAAAGTGGAAAAGCACATAATGGTGTTGGAGCCATTGTGTATGTGTACACGTTAAAACGAAAACTTAGAACAACCGAAGGTACACTGCATACACATGCTTTGACCTGTAATTTGTTAACAATCTATTCACATATGTCTCTTGGAGTTTTGATGTTAATGATTCAATATAATTTTTTTAAACATTAATGTTATCTTTCAAAAGTTGGTTTGTAAGGATTAGACTTGTTTCTACGAGTTTGACCCCGGATTTATATCAGTTAGAGAACCACTGAAAACCAGCGAGAAGTACTGGACAGCTGTTTCATCCTAGTTTGGGAACCATCGGCAGTATGCACCCACCACAAGGAGTTAGAACTCAGGACCTTCCGGTTACAAGCCAAGCTCATATACCATTCAACCACTGGAACCCGATTCAATGACCAGCCCATGAATTTTAACTTCTACCAATTCGTGATGCATTTAGTTTAACTGGCGACCAACCAATGTCATCGGCGATACATCCGTCCTCACACTTCTTAACTGAATGGACCTCACTGGTCACGGCTTCTCACTAGAACTGACCCCAGGAAACTCCGTCCTGTAGCAAGTCACTCAATGGCGAACATCAGATTAATTTTCAAGAGTCGGTTTAACCAATCCGTGGTCATACTAATAAAAATGTTAATGCTGACAGTAACAATAGATCGTTTGTTCAAGCAGACCATAATCTGAGATGATGCAAATCATCCCGGTCCAGATATCTCATTAAGTAATAATGTTACTTGCGAAGAAATAATTTCGAATTTTACCTTTTACACAAAAAGCCTCTATCGCAGCCCAATAGTTTATTAGATAAATCTATGGCGTTCAAGACGATGGGTATTTAGGGTTCAAATTTCCATGAGAATACCATTACTCACTGGGCTGGGAGACTTATGCCAATGACAAAGGGCAAATGGTATGGAACATGTGTCTTAGATTTAACTGGTAAATGACACCAACTGAATAAAACCTATTTTCTGATCATATATTAACCAATACGTTTAAACTGAGCCTCAACTCCTGAGGCAATCAAATTTGCTGGTATACATTTTGGCAGTTGGTAGGTTTAGGGCTTTCCATGAAGAAACAGTCAACATCTAAACTTTATAGTTAAGGGATGTCAGAATCATACAGTGGCTTAGGTCTGAAACTTGTTGTACATAAAACTGTGACAGAAGTTTTCAGTCAATTCATCTAATAATTAGGTTACGTAATCCATCGAGAGATATTTGTCACCACACTCAAGAACATAAACAGTGAGAATGGTTAACATATAGCCTCGTATAAGTTAACTCAAAGTCGTTACCCCAAAACTCCTCATGGTAATTCACACTTAATGGTGTAGGTTCAAACACATGGGATGTTTCAGAGAGGCAGAACCATATTGTGAATGATATCTAACGCCTAACACTAAACTGTAAATTGCTAATATTTTGAAATTACAGTAAACGTGCAATGAAGATAAGTTATTGAAAGCAGCTGCATATTTGTTGATATAATGTGATGAATATATTCACAGCAAGAAAAGTTAGAGGGAACAGTTATTTCTAGTACTTTTATCTTCAAGCTCTACAGTTTTAAACACTTTTCTGGGTTCGACCCCCAGCTGATGCACTCTTAATCCTCGCCAAAGTATACTGGGTGGTAGTAAACCGGAAGAGGAAGGAAGGAAGAGATGCTGGACTCGATGTCTGACAATTCCATCTTGTAAAGGAAATACCACAGACGCTGGTCCTTCAATGCTTGAAGCCCTATATTCCACTAAGAATGCAATGGATGAAGACGAAAGGATCCCACTTTATCTCATGTTTTTATTGAATATACATTTTTTATGCGATTGAATGACAGTCAGAACTCACTGACGATTATTATTGTTATTATTCTATCTTGTACCACACAAAAAAAGTTTCGATATAATTTTAATTTACCTTTGCTGACCATTGTATGCTAAAATTAACGAATTGTATTTGTCTGTCAGCCTCTTCCCCTCTTATATGTTACACCATCCTATAGTCCGTTTGTGGTACTTCACATTTCGCAGTTCTTCAGAGAACAACTCCGTCATTTCGAGAAGTTATTTTGTAAAAAAATTTTTATTGCTTAACGTTCCCAGAGAAACATTTCGCTTCAAGCTGGAGCTTTGAAGTTTCAGAAACAGTGGAGTTAATTTTTATGGGATAGGGTTGCTAGCCGCCTCATGCCCATCATCCCTCTTTACCAGTCTAATTACTGGCTTAGTAAGGTAAAAGAGTTCGCCTGTTGTAGAGGATCGAACCCCGAACCACATGATGCGTTGTTGGCGAGTATTCTACCTCTGTGCCACCGATGCACCGAGAAGTTATTACTTCAGTTTAACCCAGTATCACAAAATAAAGCCAGCTCAAGTAGCTAAACAAAATCAATATACTGAATCAAGCTCTACTACTCTGTACCAGCATAACATTGTCGATAATTTAAACAGGAAACGTCAAGTTACACGGACAACGTGTTACAGTCGAGTGAATTTCGCACTTCTATCATTTCGGAATATGATCTATCATAATCTAAATATTACTGGCGAGCAAACGTTTGGATAAATGATTTCTTGGACTTCGTCAATTACGATTTGTAGGTAGAACTAGAAACTCGTTATGAAAATAGTTACGATTAGGAATTTCTGCCAGGCTGAGTGGTAAAATACTCACCAATTCATACAAATGTCATTTGTTCGACCTCTAGAAAACCTATGGGTTTCTTTACAGCCTAGGAATCGATCTATACTCTCTAAGTTTTAAGAATTCCGTTACACACACACTCTATCAATTCCCTTAACAAATCCAACATTTGAAATTATTATTACTGAGTGAAACGGAAAACAAGTCAACGTTTAGTGTAAATTACTACAATCACTCACTTTAAATAAGGATCTGTTCTTTCATGTACAACTGAGAATTCAATAGCATCGAGTAACTGGGTTAAAACACCACCGATACGTAATGTCCCTTCACCAATTTCACGTAACAATCTTGGATTTATTGACTGATGTCTACTAGTGATAGGCGCGCGAACCACTCGTTTAGGTGATAAAGCTGATGATGAGGAGTTAGATGATAGTGGTGATGATAGTGAGGAAGAGAAGGAGGAGGACGCGGATGCGGACGCTGATGCCGATGAGGATGAATTTACTGTACAAAATATCATCATTATAAATAAGCTAGAAAAGAACTTAATGACAAAACTGGTTTTGTAGAAGTAATAATATTGCTGATACATAAATTTGGCATTTGTTGTATAACATGTTACGCGATTGCCTGTATTTTCATATGATGTTAGCGTTGATGATATTCTTCTGGTTTCAATAGCTGACTGTTTATGCTTTGATGCAGAGGTCTGATAATTATAATTATTGCTACTGTTAAAACTATTATTTTTAAAGTATTGAATTCTCTTCAATTGTATCCAATTTAAACAGTTCAACTTGATAATTGAATACTTCTGGCACATGTGTTACATAATATCTGCTGTTTCATGAAATATTCCTCCTCAATAAGTGAGTTCATTAATTTTCGCATCACCAATGCATAACAATACTGTTTCTTCATATAAGTAGCATTAAACATGTATAAGATAATCATAAAATGAAGATATCTGTAAATTTCATAGAATATTTTCATGAATTTGTTAAACATTTTTAGAATTTTATTTCACAGGCTACTTTTTCTTTTTTTTTAATTTATTTTTCTTTTATGAAAGCGCTATTTTGTGCGAATTAAACCCAAATATGTTCAATGTCCAATATATTCAATGTGTCGATTAAAACAAAACATTCAAAATGCAAAGAGAAAAAATGGCAGTAATTATAATATAAACTGGAAGTGTGATGTCAGTAGATTTTGATTGAATTATTATCTAATTATGCTTTAGAAATTAGCCTTGCAGGTAAAATTAACTAAAAATCCTTTGCAAATATAACTACTGTATTTTAACTTTTAAAAATTGTACTAATTATTTTCCAGATATATATATTATGCATATGTGTTGTTGTTGTTGTTGTTGCTGGTGATGATGATGTAATAACATTTATTGCATAAGACGCACGCTGATTATTACACTGTGTTGATGATGTCCGTGATGATGATGATGACGGTGGTGATGAGGTGGCTTAACTGCCTCCACTTTTCAATCCAAGTTAGTACATGTGTATTTATAGATACCCTGTAGGTTTGTTTGTCTATTCTTCTGTGTGAGTGTGTGTGTGCGTATGTGTGTATGTTGTTTTAATGTTCAAGCTAGCTCTACAGAGAGACAGAATGGATTGTGTAAAACCATATCGTGTTATGTCATTATCGCTACATACACGTATACATTCCCTTATACACGCGTTCATATGTCTATGTCTCTATTCTACTCTATTTGTCCGAAGCATAAAACTAATCGAGTCTGTCCGTAACTAACTGACTAACTAACTTGAATTCGACTATTGTTATTTGTTTTTCCATCAGTTTTATAATAAAAAAGCTTGATATTATAATACAGTCTAGTTAGTATTAGTTGGATGTATACCATTATGCCTTCGCTTTCACAAACAACAAAAAAAGATTTTTTTAAAATAATCCTCTATGAGTGAATTTTAGATTTTCCCGTCGATTGATTGGACCGAAGTGCTCGGTCTCAGGTTGACATGTCTGTCGGCTTCTTGTGCAGATGCTTCGACAATGTCTGGACATGTAGTTAGAATTTCACTGGTGGATGGTGACTAGCAGTGGAATCCAGTCAGTACGCGCATTTCGTCCTGTCTGGGACTCGTCATCTGGATGTACCTGCATTCTCCAGTGAGTGATGATTTTCCCATCGATTAATTATTAATATGACCCGATGGACAAGAAGTGGCTCTCGTGGCCCTATCGGTCTAGTGGATAACGCTTTGGCATCTGAAATTATATGCATTGTGTTCGGGGCCTCGGTGGGAACATAATCACTCAATCCGGAATGCAGGTACATCCACTAGCTGACGAGTCCCAAATAGGACGAAACGCACGTTATTCTGGATTCCACTGCTAGTCACTATCTACCAGTTAAATCCCCTCTATAAGGATTAACTAATAACAGTTTATGACGTATCTGTCCTTATTCACTGATATCATTGCTTGATTTCGTTGATACATTTGTCGACTGTACAAACTGTTCACATTTTTTTTGTCATTCTTTGAGTTCTGGCCTCCAGATTTAAAATTTCAGCAGAGCGGTGGTGTTGTTAACCTTCCTTCCTCTCTCAAATTACTCCCGCTTTGTAAATTAAGTGTGACTTATGAGTGCGTTGGCTGTTAATCAAAATTGGCAATCTTACTTGACTGACAAAGAATTTGACATTGAAACATTGATACACAAAATACCATCCTGCTTTCATTAATTACTTGGAAGATGAAATGGCTACAACTGATGAACACCATGTGTCACGGTGTCAGTGTTAAATAGACGAATTAATACTAGTTGACTGTTACGCATTCAGAGTTACTGCTTTCTTCTGTGAGCAGCGTTCGCTAATACCTAACTGAGTCATAGAAAACCTCATAGATGATCATTCTGAAACACAGCACTAATTTGGAAAGTAATCGCTTGTTAGTCTGGGACGCATAGAGAGGTATAGAGCATCTGGTTAGGGTCAAAGAATGCCTGATATTGAAATAATAGGGAAGATTTATACCTCGGGTAGATATTTGTACTGTTGTTGTATTCTCTGAGCTGAGTGGGGATTCAATTTTCGAGCTTTCAGTGTCCTTCTAGACGACGTCTTAAGGACTAACCTCTTTGTAAGTAGTCTACGATTAAGAACAATGCAGTCATACGGTGTCTGATTGACAAGGGATATCAGGCAGACATTTTGAATTCTCTTATACTGATCTGAAACCCCTAGAAATTAAAATAGCTTATCACCATCAGAAGCTGTGGTAAGTTTCTCTCTCTCTCTCCACTTTAGTCGACTGTGTCATCCTTTATTTAGTGTTAATGTTGACCACTTATCATGCCTATGTACATACATATATATATCAAGAACACAATATTCAGTGAAGAGCCTTTTTGCGTTGAATTTATTGTCAAGCTGTACTATGGTATATTCATGTTTTGTTTTTAAATTAAATCCTGTGAGGAAATTTAAACAAAAGTGTGAAAACTTAAAACTAATAATATGATTGAAATGCTCATGATCACGACCGTGTATTGGTTTCTAGGGATCTGGCTGATTTGCTACAAGCTTTCATCGTGAACTGAGGTCAATTGGAGAACCCCTGAAAAACCTGAAATAATTGGACTTCCAGCTGTTCCGTCTTAGTTTTGAACTCTTCAGAAGTAAGCGCCAAGTGAAGTTCAAACACACAACCTTCTAGCCACAAGTCAAGCTAGCTCCTAGACCATTAAGCCACTGAGACGCAATCCAGTGACCAGCTCATGAATTCCAACTTCAGCCAAGTCGCAAAATAACGCGACTACTACCTGATGTCATCTCTCGAGAGTATTTGTGCTCACACTCGCCCTTATATACCTTACTATGGTCATGACATCTCACTAGAACCCCAGGTAAATAACTACCTACCATGGTTAAATATCAAGTGAAAAAGTTAAAAAAAATAGCATATATAGCCTATAATTCATAAGATGAATATATATCTTGTAAAGGAGTGAAAAATTAATAGAATTGATGGGATCAGCATAATTATTAATACTTTGAGTCACAAGGGGGCTTCAAAAAGACATCTCCGCTCTGTTCCATTTCATTCTGTTCTCTTCAGCTGGATTCATGACCGCCAATAATCACTCACCTCCTCTTCCTCCCCAAGACCTCCTCCATGTTACTCTCATACCTATCATCCACTTGTTGCTTCCCATTCGGACTCCACTCGAGTTATTAACTGCACTGAGCACGATGTCATTCGATGGCTTCCTCAACTTACCCCGGATCGATCCATCTTCATATCCTTCTCCATACTTGTTGAGTGATCTTTTCATAGTTGGTTGTTCCTAGGGGGTCTTGTTACGAATTCTTTCTGGCTAGCTGATCATCTGGTCTTCAGTATGGAGTCAGAGAAGGCAACTGTTCATTGAAGTCTGCAACAGGCTGTTAGAAATCCTTTTCGTGACACTCTGACTACGTTTCTGAACCGTATAGAACAGATAACTGACTAACTCTACATTTGTGTTGAAAATGCTATTCTTGCTCTTTATTCTGGCTGAGTGAGTGGAGGAGATTTCCAAACTGGCTTCAGACTCATGAAGGAGTATCTTGCCTTTCCTATTCTGGCTGGCTGATCAGCTTTGATATCTTCATGCGCTCTGCCTGGACTGTGGCTGAAATTGTGCTTCCTAACTGGATAAGTGATGGAAGTAACTTCTGACAAATCTCTCTCGTTGATAGTGATTGGTGCCACTTGTTGTAGACAAGAGGATTAGTGGGCAATTGAAGCAACACGAACCACAGTGGGAAAGTTGATAAGATAGAATTTAACATTGAAAAAATCTATTGATCTAAAATAACAAGTTACACAAGGGAGATAATTCTGTAAACGTTTCAAAGTGAGTGTGAAAATCATAGTTATTGTAACATTAATGGAAAGATAAATAAATTTACGTTTATCAATCTACCATCAAAGTAGAAATAAAGACTTTATATGCTTCTTTTGTACGCAGATGTCTGACTTGAATTTGTAAATGACCAAGATATCCGATGTCTTTACAAGTTTAGAATGAGAAAAAAACGCGATAAGTTAGCATGAATTCGATGAATGAACTTAAGATCATGGTCAGGGTTGGTAGAGTGACAGAAGTCGATCAAGTGTTCTCGAACAGAGCTTCACACATCCTTCCTTTCTCCCTTGGAAAACTATGCTGTGTTGTGCTCTCGTATCCGTGTGGAAAGCGTTCTCTGGCTACAGCCATAACCATAGCTCCATAAGAGCATGTAAACTGAAAGATGCATATAGAGGTGACCACATGAGGGTGCTTATCTTCCACACAAACACAGAACAACTTACAGCTGGTGAAGGCAAATAGGAGTTTCGCTGCAAACAATATCTTTTTTAATAATTATAAAAATAATAATTTGCTTTATTCCAAAACAGTACTTGCGATACAGAATGGAATTCTCAGCATTTTACTACAGTATTGCATCCAGTTAGTAAATTAACAATACAATAAAATTCTACATAGAGTAAGGGTGATCTCAGTTAGTTTTAATAACAACATATTAGCACGGTAGCAAAGCCAAAATTGAACAGAGTGTTTGAAGTTGTTAAAAAAGTAGATACTACTAGCATATTTACTGGCGTAAGCGGTAACAGAAGGTCGAGATATACAGGGTGTGAGAAAACGAAGAATGTTTCAAGTAGAGTTAGTAAGGAGGAAAGAAACAAAGCAGCACATAACAGAAAAAAGAGAGAAAAGGAAAAAAAGAAGAAAAACGTTGTACCTACAAACGACATGAGTTGGAAAGACAACATCCAGTTGTTCTA